CACCTGTGTCACTAATGGGAGGACAACATACACACCTGTGTCACTAATGGGAGGACAACATACACACCTGTGTCACTAATGGGAGGACAACATACACACCTGTGTCACTAATGGGAGGACAACATACACACCTGTGTCATTAATGGGAGGACAACATACACACCTGTGTCACTAATGGGAGGACAACATACACACCTGTGTCATTAATGGGAGGACAACATACACACCTGTGTCATTAATGGGAGGACAACATACACACCTGTGTCACTAATGGGAGGACAACATACACACCTGTGTCACTAATGGGAGGACAACATACACACCTGTGTCACTAATGGGAGGACAACATACACACCTGTGTCATTAATGGGAGGACAACATACACACCTGTGTCATTAATGGGAGGACAACATACACACCTGTGTCACTAATGGGAGGACAACATACACACCTGTGTCACTAATGGGAGGACAACATACACACCTGTGTCACTAATGGGAGGACAACATACACACCTGTGTCACTAATGGGAGGACAACATACACACCTGTGTCACTAATGGGAGGACAACATACACACCTGTGTCATTAATGGGAGGACAACATACACACCTGTGTCATTAATGGGAGGACAACATACACACCTGTGTCACTAATGGGAGGACAACATACACACCTGTGTCACTAATGGGAGGACAACACACACACCTGTGTCACTAATGGGAGGACAACATACACACCTGTGTCACTAATGGGAGGACAACATACACACCTGTGTCACTAATGGGAGGACAACATACACACCTGTGTCACTAATGGGAGGACAACATACACACCTGTGTCACTAATGGGAGGACAACATACACACCTGTGTCACTAATGGGAGGACAACATACACACCTGTGTCACTAATGGGAGGACAACATACACACCTGTGTCACTAATGGGAGGACAACATACACACCTGTGTCACTAATGGGAGGACAACATACACACCTGTGTCACTAATGGGAGGACAACATACACACCTGTGTCACTAATGGGAGGACAACATACACACCTGTGTCACTAATGGGAGGACAACATACACACCTGTGTCACTAATGGGAGGACAACATACACACCTGTGTCACTAATGGGAGGACAACATACACACCTATGACTCTAATGGGAGGACAATATACATAGCTGTGTCACTAATGGGAGGACAACACACACAGCTGTGTCACTAATGGGAGGACAACATACACACCTGTGTCACTAATGGGAGGACAACATACACACCTGTGTCACTAATGGGAGGACAACATACACACCTGTGTCACTAATGGGAGGACAACATACACACCTGTGTCACTAATGGGAGGACAACATACACACCTGTGTCACTAATGGGAGGACAACATACACACCTGTGTCACTAATGGGAGGACAACATACACACCTGTGTCACTAATGGGAGGACAACATACACACCTGTGTCACTAATGGGAGGACAACATACACACCTGTGTCACTAATGGGAGGACAACATACACACCTGTGTCACTAATGGGAGGACAACATACACACCTGTGTCACTAATGGGAGGACAACATACACACCTGTGTCACTAATGGGAGGACAACATACACACCTGTGTCACTAATGGGAGGACAACATACACACCTATGACTCTAATGGGAGGACAATATACATAGCTGTGTCACTAATGGGAGGACAACACACACAGCTGTGTCACTAATGGGAGGACAACATACACACCTGTGACACTAATGGGAGGACAACATACACACCTGTGTCACTAATGGGAGGACAACACACACACCTGTGTCACTAATGGGAGGACAACATACACAGCTGTGTCACTAATTGGAGGACAACATACATAGCTGTGTCACTAATGGGAGGAAAACATATAGCTGTGACACTAATGGGAGGACATCATACACAGCTGTGACACTAATGGGAGGACAACATACACACCTGTGTCACTAATGGGAGAACAACATACACAGCTGTGACACTAATGGGAGGACAACATACACACCTGTGTCACTAATGGGAGGACAACATACATAGTTGTGACACTAATGGGAGGACAACATACATAGCTGTGACACTAATGGGAGGACAACATACATAGCTGTGTCACTAATGGGAGGACAACATACATAGCTGTGACACTAATGGAAGGACAACATACATAGCTGTGTCACTAATGGGAGGACAACATACACAGCTGTGACGCTAATAGGAGGACAACATACATAGCTGTGTCACTAATGGGAGGACAACATACATAGCTGTGACACTAATGGAAGGACAACATACATAGCTGTGTCACTAATGGGAGGACAACATACACAGCTGTGACGCTAATAGGAGGACAACATACATAGCTGTGTCACTAATGGGAGGGCAACATACATAGCTGTGACACTAATGGGAGGACAACATACATACCTGTGTCACTAATGGGAGGACAACATACACACCTGTGTCACTAATGGGAGGACAATATACACACCTGTGACACTAATGGGAGGACAACATACACACCTGTGACACTAATGGGAGGACAACATACATAGCTGTGACACTAATGGGAGGACAACATACACACCTGTGACACTAATCGGAGGACAACATACACACCTGTGACACTAATGGGAGGACAACATACATAGCTGTGACACTAATGGGAGGACAACATACACACCTGTGACACTAATCGGATGACAACATACACAGCTGTGACACTAATGGGAGGACAACATACACACCTGTGACACTAATGGGAGGACAACATACACACCTGTGACACTAATGGGAGGACAACATACACACCTGTGACACTAATGGGAGGACAACATACACAACTGTGACACTAATGAGAGGACAACATACATAACTGTGACACTAATGGGAGGACAACATACACAGCTGTGACACTAATGGGAGGACAACATACATAGCTGTGACACTAATGGGAGGACAACATACACAGCTGTGTCACTAATTGGAGGACAACATACGCACCTGTGTCACTAATGGGAGGACAACATACACAGCTGTGACACTAATGGGAGGACAACATACATAGCTGTGACACTAATGGGAGGACAACATATACACCTGTGTCACTAATGGGAGGACAACATACACACCTGTGACACTAATGAGAGGACAACATACATAACTGTGACACTAATGGGAGGACAACATACACAGCTGTGACACTAATGGGAGGATGTTACGGCCCTCTCGGGACGCAACGGGGTCCTTACTCTGATGTTTTTAGAGGAAGATATAATGTATTCGTTCCCAAGCCAGTAGTGGCTATCAAGGGATGAGATCCGTGACGCAAGTAACTTAAAGGGAGTAGGGAAAGAAAGTTAAGAACTTAATATTATAATTATTACCATCACCGTTTAAATATATAAAATAAATGAGTGCACAAGGGAGAGGGGTATTAACACTAGACAAGGGGATTATTCACAAATTAGTCTTCTGCTGAAGACTCTGGATCCAGAAGCTAGGTGCTAAGTCATCGGTGCTTTCTTCGTGGCCACACGACGAATTATCCAAAGAAGTTGAGCCTACCCTGGCCACAGGTCCACTGGGGGCACCGTCGTGGAGGCCGTCAACCACACGTCCAGCTAGTCTGCTGGCAGGTTCTGAGCCACCAAGGCTGGTACGGCCACTCCACGAACGATATAAGGGGTACGCCCTAGACAGGAGTCTCGTGTGATATCACAAATCCCCCTCCTGTCCTCAATACCCCAGTGGATGATCGTCTCCAACAGTCGGTCCCGGGTAAATCCTCTTACTGCCACTCCACTGGCAGGCTAACACACCACAGTGTTCTTCCGGGGGGACGACTTCACAACAGCTGCAGCAACGTTCAAGGTATGGAGACTGGCTGCCTCGGGTAGACTGACTCCACTTCCATCACAGCAGTCCCAGGTCGGCTCTGTAAGCAGACACGTCATCAATAACTGGGACACTAAAACACCTCACTTACGGGCTCGGGCACAAACACCTGACGTATCCAGTCCATAGATGGCGCTGTCGTCGGAGCACCACCTCACCAGAGGTCAGTGGCGGCGGTGTAGAGTGCTGAACGGGACTGGAAACTGGTCCTTGTGGCTGGTACACCTTGTCCTCACCAGGTGTCGTCGGCGTTTGGCGGGGGGTTTTGGGAGCTGACCCACAGATGGCGTGGTTGTCACTGCTCCAGGCTCGGACGCTGGATCCGGGTTCGTAACAGAGGACAACATACACAGCTGTGACACTAATGGGACGACAACATACATAGCTGTGACAGTAATGGGAGGACAACATACACAGCTGTGACACTAATGGGACGACAACATACATAGCTGTGACACTAATGGGAGGACAACATACACAGCTGTGACACTAATGGGAGGACAACATACACACCTGCGTCACTAATGGGAGAACAACATACTCAACTGTACCACTGTAGTAGGTTGGGTTAAATACACATCTATATATAAACACTCTATACACTGGTATCGTGGTAACTACTCGGGTCCATTTTTAAAATAGCATTCAATTATTGTGAAGGTTTGAAGAGCTGAATGACCCAAATTTTCACGAGAATACCAGACGGTGAAGAAGGAAGAACTTTTGAAGGACAAAAGTGAATGACGCTAACAACACACAACAGTTGCCTAATTCAATTTAACTCACCTAACTAACTCGTTGCCTTTATACTTCTAGATGAACAGTTCCATTAGGTGAAATAAAACATACCCAATCATCTCTGTCCAGCCCAAGGATCGAACACGGGATCCCTGATTGTTCGTCGAGAATGTTTGGATTTTACAGTCTGTAAACGTTCATTATCCTCTTAACAGAACTTAAATCAAATTATAGATGTTGGATAAAAATGTGTACACACAGATTTTAAACACTCGGATGCCTTATGATAATCATTTGTGTATAATTCAATCTTTCGTTTGGTTCCAGAGGGACGACAGTCATTGGACGGAGCCGCAAACTGTCCAGTAAGCTCCTCAAACCGACAGTTGAGAACCGACAATCGGCTGATGAGAAACAGTGTAACGAGGATGAGCAACACACTGAGAAACATCAGGAGAATGGAGACATACAACAGGCCGGCGAGCACCAACAGGCTGGTGGTGCTCCCACCAAAACCAAAATCCATCGCTGTAACATCTGCCAGTTGACATTCGCCACAACATTAAGCTTTGAAAGACACATGAAGAGACATGAAGCAAACAAACCACATGAGCGCCAAGACTGTGACAAGAAATTCGTAACAAAATCTGGCCTCGATATTCACAGAAGAAAACACACAGGTGAGAGACCATACAAGTGTGACAATTGCTCAAAGGCCTTCACAACACGATCAGTACTCATTATGCACATGAGAGGCCACACAGGTGAGAAACCTTATGAGTGCAATACTTGTGGTGCAAGGTTCACTCAGAGTGCAACTCGAGCTGACCACATGCGGCGTCATACAGGAGAAAAACAATACCAATTTACCACTTGCCCAGAAAAATTTGTTACGAGAATAAATTATCGTGGGCACATATTGTTGTCTCAAAGAAAAAGTAAGATTGAGTGTAAAATATGTAAAAAACAATTTACCTCCAACCTTAAACTTAAAAACCATATGGTTAAACATTCAAATGAAAGACCATTTGAATGCGGAGAATGTGGAAGAAAGTTTAAAAGCAAAATTTCGGTGGCAAGTCATCTAAAATCCGTACATTCAAATGAAAAACCTTACAAGTGTGACATATGCATGAAAAGATTTGCAGTAAGAAGTTCTCTTATCTTGCACACGATGACTCATACTAATATTGGCAGAGTTCAGTGTGAACAATGTGGAAGGATGCTCAACTCTAAAAGACATGTTCTCCGTCACCAAACTTCACAAACTGGATGCAAGAGAAACTATGTTTTTAAACCATTCTTTTGTAAGCTATGTGGAACCCAGTTTAATAATGACAGCACCGCTCGAAAACATAGAAGGATCATGGATTGCACGAAAACACATGTACGTTTCTTATGTGACTTCTGTCGTGAGGACTGTAAAACATACGAAGGACTTCTAACGCATCTGCTTGATCATGCTGAACCTGGAAGGAAAGGTTATGACAGCTTACTCCATAGAATGACTCATAGCAAAAAACGTATCAATCCAGCCTGGGTAGTGAAGGTTTACAACTCTGATACAGTTAGTACGTCAAGAGACAGCAGTGGTGCTTACATTAATATCGATCAACGGCAAGTCACAAGCGTCCCTACTGACCATACACCAGCTGTTCACAACAACACAGTTGTGCACCATCAACGAGACAATGTAGTCTATCACAAAACAGCTATGGACCATCGCAAAACAGTTATAGACCATCACGAAACAGTTGTAGACCATCGCGAAATAGCTGTAGATTATCACAAAACAGCTATAGACTATCGCAAAACAGCTGTAGACCATCACGAAACAGATGTAGACCATCACAGAACAGCTGTAGACCATCACAAACCAGCTGCAGATCATCATAAAACAGCTGTAAACGTCTTATCTCAGGATTCGTGTTTTACTGGTGAAACTAATTTTGATAAGATAAACACGAATGAAAAGCTAAATAAGTATGAGGGTAGAAAATATCTCGGAAATACAGAAGCATATTATAATTTAGACAGTAATCACGTGAATGGCGTATGGGGAACATGTCGAGATCTTGGCAACAACTATATTTTAACCAGGGAACTGCAGGTGAGGGATAAATGTGACATAGAAGTGATCAAACATGCTTGTGTGATGCAGAGAAGTTATCCCATGATTAAGGAAGCAGAAGAAGTGAGTGTGAAAGAGGAGAATGAGACAGTTGATAAATGGGAAGAAGAGCCGGAGATGCAGAAGACATCAGATAGACAGTTCCTAGAGAGCACCTCACTCCTCATCGTCAACGGTATCACCACAATCAAGCGTGAAGCGCCTCATCCTGTTCCTCACACTTCAGTACCTCATTATTGATAATATGTTCGACCATCCAATAACTGACTACCTCACAGCCTCACCCTTGGCTACCTAAAGCTTGGCTGTCCTGTACTCTATCACCTTTATATTTGCTTATTATTAGATACATTTCTTGAACATTTTACATTTGTTAGTTTACTTCTTGTTTAGTATTGTCTTCATTCCATTTTATCTACAACAACAAAATTAACTGAATTATTTTAAGTTTTGCCTGAAACGCTTTGCGTATTAATGGCTTTATTTATTATCATTAATATTATATTATTATTATTTACACAAGCAGATCACACTAGCGTGATATATCAATGAGAAAAATTGGAGCAAGACGTATTGTAGATTCGATTGAATCCCATCTTGAATAACTTTTACCATGTTGTTGTCCAGAGGTAAGGTGCACGGCTTGGGAGTACCCTGGTCGAGGGTTCGAGTTTATTCGAATTTCGGATATCTTTCTCCTCTCGCTGAAAGAGAAGTGAACCAAGTATACTACCCTGCAGAACGCCAATGTGTATTGGTAAAACAGGAGAAGTAGACTCGTTCACTGAAACATACTGTTGCCTGTCACTGAGGTAAGATTGCAAGTACTGTAGAGAGTGGCCTCTGACTCCATAGTGTTGGAGTTTGAGAGAAGGTTATTGTGGTTAAGTGTCAAAAGCATTACCTAGGTAAACAAACAGACCAATGTGGTACACATTTTTCTTAAGAGCTGCATGTAATAGGTTAAGCATATTTATAAGAGCATCATTGGTGCTTTTATAGGCCATGAAGCCATATTGGCTTGAACTGAGTATATTGTGTTTATCGAGAAACGAATAGAGCTGTTTGTACAGGAGCTACTCAAGGATTTTTGGACAGGGTGGGAAGGACTGAAATTGGTTTAAATTGTCGATTTCAACGAGATCTCCACTTTTATGGACTGAAATGACTTTAGCCATTTTAAGAGAATTTGGGAAGGCTCAGATCTCCAGTGATTTATTGTCGAGGAACTCTGTTGCAGGAGCTAAAACATTGAGGCTTTTGTTATAGATTAGGGTTGGTATCTCGAAAGAGTTACAGGATTTAGTTTTAAGTGACAGGGTAATATAAAAAAATATAAGGAGTTAGCTGGGAACATGTACAGAGGCTCACAATAGCTGTCAGAGAGGTTTTCGCTCACATTACTTGGGATGCTGGGATCTCATTTGCCAAGGAGGTGCCAATGGAAGAAAATAAATTATTGAATTTAGTAGCTGTCTCAGCGCCTGATAACATTCTACTATTTCCAGCTACGAATATATACAATTTTTTTTATCCAAGTTCTTCTTTGACCCTAATATCTGGGAAGTAGTGTTCCATATTTTCTTGCTGTTACCTTTTATAAGTTTAAAATTATTTTCATAGTGGGTTGCCTCGACTTTTTTTAATATCTTAGAAAGCAGTGAGGAGTATTGCTTAGTCAATTCCCTGGGAATGATATCATGCCTGCATTTCTTCGCATATTATTTTTTTTTATTTATTTACGTAAGTAAAACCTTATTGAGTCAAGAGTTGATGGTCCTTTTAGTTGAGACTTGCTTACTAAGTAAACGACAGTTATAGAGGCTTCGAGTTGTGCGAAGAAATGTCTGCACTCTTAGATTAACATTAGTCATATTTCCAAATTCCGTTTCCCAGTTTATGTTGCAGCAGCAGTTGTAAAATTACTTATGGAAGCTTCAGTAAGCAGTCTAAAGCTTGTTTTCTTTGTTTGAGGAGAAGGTTAAAAAATGTCGGTTAGGAGAAATGTTGGGTAGTGGTCTGTTGTATCATCGGCGATAATTCCTGAGCTTAGTGGAGAGGTTAAGGTAGTCCAAATGTGGTCAAGGGTGGAGGCAGTTTCAGTAATTCTCGAGTGTTTAATAATCAAAGGCAAAAACATACAGGAGTTCATACAGTTGAGGAGGCTGGCAACAAGTGGGTTATCAGGCTGGCATAGATCAGTGTTGAAATCTCCAGTTAATATTAGTTGATTTTTGTTAAGCTTGTTTTATATTATTAAGGTTCTAGGCTTCGAATTTAATTCGGCTACAACAGTATTAGGAATTCTGTAGACTGCTCCCAAAGTTAAGTTGGTGTTCAGGCTCTTCAATTTGAACTGGGAAAATATATACTCTCCATGTATATATACTATATATATACTAGATTTGATCATTTTTGTACATGATAGTTCCTTATGGTAATAAATTAAATTGAATGTACTAAATTGTTAAATTAGTGTACCACCCACCTCTCTGGTTAGGTCTACAGTTGTGGATAGCAGAATAATTGGGAATATTATATAGTTGGGTAATGTCATCATTTAACCAGGTCTCAATAAGAACAACAAGGGAGAATTGGTAGTTTAGTGATTGCAATAAGGTACCAACATCATCATGGTGTTTGCTAAAGAGGCCTTGCATTGACGTTAATTAGAGACACATTATGGTTATTTGATAATACATTGTTGGCAAGTTTTGCTCTGTAGTACTTACAGTTGGTATCGTTAAAGTGAAGGTTGTGATAGACAGTACATGAGAGATTCAGTTGAGGGTTATTATAAATGAATGTAATTCAGTTTCGAGCAGCCTATATGTCAGTGTTCTGTTTCACGTGATTTTGTTTGTAGAACAATTTACATTTTTATAACTAACTTTTACGCTATTATTGATGTTATATTACTGAATAAATTTATACCAATTTGCCTCACTTTCATTCCCAGAAACTCTGTGAGCAGGAGCTAGGACCAGCGTCACTCTACAAGATGTTAATGAATACTCGTTATCAAGGATTTTAGACCAAACACCATAAGATAGTGGAGCTTTTTCCCAGTGAGCACCGTTGGTTGAAAGCGACCGACGTTACACACTGTTTATTGTGTAACATCGGTCGATTTCAACTAACGGTGTCCACTGTGTTGTAATTATTTCATCCACTCAGGAATATTCTCCTACATAATGAACATGAGAAGATATTCTCATACTCAACCCACGTATTCAGGGATATATCAGGAACGGTTGAGGACCACAGAGCTAACAGCAACGCAAACCAGGCACGACGAGGCTGACCTCATTGAAACTTTTATAATATTGAACAATTTGGAAAATGTTGATCCTGATAATTTCTTCAAAAAGTCAGATGTAGCAAACAAGGAACAACGGTTTCAAGCTCAACAAGCATAATGTAGGACTAAGAACAGGTGATGCTTTTCCACCCACAGGGTTCTTAACCCATGGAACCACCATGTTCCACCATGCGGATATAAAGGTCTGATCAGCAATGTTTCCAATACAATATATATATATATATATATATATATATATATATATATATATATATATATATATATATATATATATATATATATATATATATATATATATATATATATATATATATATATATATATATATATATATATATATATAATATATACTAGCTGTACCCGGCCACGCGTTGCTGAGCCACACCAACCCTCCCCGATTGCCCAGTCCTCCCCACAATTCCCCCCTCCCCCTCCCCCTCATCCTCCTAACCCTTCCCCTACACCACAGTCTCCTCATCCTCCCTACCATCTCCCACTCCTCAGTCCCCTCGTCCTCCCTACCATTCCCCGTCCCCCGTCCCCTAGTCCTCCCCACAATTACACCCTCCCCTGTCTCGTCGTCCTCCCCACAATTCCCCACTCCTCTCCCCTCGTCCTCCTAACCATTCTCCACTCCCTCGTCTGATGCATTCACAAATGATCTGATGTACCCATCAGAGAGTTGGGAACATCAAATGATCTGATGTTCCTATCACTGCAATATAGGAAAAACAGTTACTTAAAAAATAATGTTTTTACCTGTCACAGGTGTGGCATCTATACATATACTTTCGAAATGAACGGTATGGTAAACAACACAGCTCAATTCCAATGCAATGTCACACAATATAATTAAATCAAATTGAAAATAAATTGTAATCTATGAAAATTCCATTTATCAATGCAATCAGAAACGTTGAAATGTAATCGTAACATATTTAGTATAGTGAGTGTGTGTGTGTGTTGCTATTACGTGCAACAGATGAAGCTCTTTCTCAAAAAAGCATGTTTTTACCTGTCACAGGTGTGGCGTGTAGGTAGTAGGTATATTAAAAGATGCGTGTATTCAAATGGAACGTTGTGTCAAATTTCAAAGCAATTGGAGATTATATCACTTTCGGAGATTAAAGGGTGTGTTGCTCTTACATCCAACAGATGGCGCTGTTTTTCAAGAAAAAGCATAGTTTTACCTGTCACAGGTGTGGCATCTATACATATACTTTTGAAATGAACGGTATGGTAAACAACACCGCTCAATTCCAACACAACATCACACAAGATAATTCACTAAAAAGTAAAATAAATCAAAATCTATTAAAATAAAATTTATCAATGCAATCGGAAACCAATGAAATAGAATTCGTGACATATTTAGTATAGCGTGCATGTTGCCATTATGTGCAACAGATAGCGCTGTTTTTCAAAAACGCATGTTTTTACCTGTCAGAGGAGAGGCATCTATGTACTAGGTATATAAAAAGACGTGCCTATTTAAATGCAACGTTGTGTCAAAATTTCAAAGCAATTGGAGAAGAACTTTTGGAGATTACAGCGTGTGTTGCTCTTACGTTCAACACATGGTGCTGTTTTTCAAAAAAAGTACGTTTTTTCCTGTCACAGGTGAGGCATGTATATAGTAGATATATAAAAAGACGCGCCTATTCGAATGCAACGTTGTGTGAAAATTTTAAAGCAATCAGTAAAGAGGTTTCGAAGATTTCCCTCGTATGAAAAACACCTGAAAAAACACAGTTTTTCAGAAAAAGCATGTTTTTTACCGTCACAGACGTAACATCTGTATAATATGTATATAAAAACCTGTTCCTTAGTGTTCCTTCTACACTAAGGAAACAAACATAGGAATGTGCCTCAATGCCAACAGTGACTGCCCAGACAGGTACAAGGGAGTGTCGTTAACGCTTATGTCGACCG